GGAGAGAGGGGAGAGAGGGAGAGAGGGGAGAGAGGGAGAGAGGGAGAAAGGGGAGAGAGGGAGGAAAGAGGGAGAGAAGGATAGAGAGAGTGAGTCAGAGACAGACCTTGTTAGCCAGGGTGAAGGCCTCTATGTCCGCGTCAAGAATCAGCTCCACAAAGTCCATATGGTGAGAGTCTGAAACAGAAATATCAAAGAACTGACGGTGAACATTTGTCTGTCATCATCATCATCATCACCATCACCATCACCATCACTATCATCACCATCATCACCATCACTATCATCATCATCATCACCATCATCATCACTATCATCATCATCACCATCATCGTCACCACCATCATCATCATCATCACCATTAAGACTTGGTAGTATTTCCCAAATATTTAATGACACGGGCTTCATCAGGAACATTCCAAATAGAAATGACCAGACAAGACTATCTGTCGAAACCAAAGAAGGTACATTCATGTCACAGCGCTACAGGGAGCTAAGTGTGGGGGTAGTTTGACCTACATACTGGGCTGGACAGACTCTACAAGACATCAGGTAGATTACGTTTTGTGGTTTCACAAGTGATGCTGTGGGAAAGTTTCTTTGAAAGTGGGGGCCGTCTACAAAGTTGGTCACTTTCATGTAGGCACATCATGTTTTGCATCTAGGTTTTTGACAAGGATAATTTTGAGGTGAGGAACATGGGTTTGTCGGAGGTGAGGACGTGGGTGTTACTGCTCTAGTGAGGACGTGGGTGTTACTGCTCTAGTGAGGACGTGGGTGTTACTGCTCTAGTGAGGATGAGGAGGTTGCCCAGATTGGGAGAATGTCATTATAGACTGGGAAGTACACAGTCCAGACGTGTCACAGACAGGGAAGTATACAGTCCAGACTTGTCACAGACAGGGAAGTATACAGTCCAGACTTGTCACAGACAGGGAAGCACACAGTATAGACTGACTTTTCTTGATGAGCACGGTGGCGGTGTCGGAGCTGGTCAGTCCCTCAGCGTCCTCCACGGTCAGCTGGAACAGATACTGACCGGCCACCAGGTCCACCAGCTGTAGGACGGCCTGGCTGTCTGACCCGTTGACCACCGCCTAGGAAAACACAACAACAACAACAATAATAGTTGAACTTATACAACAACAACAACAACAATAATAGTTGAACTTATACAACAACAACAACAACAATAATAGTTGAACTTATACAACAACAACAACAACAATAGGTTAACTTATACAACAACAACAACAACAATAGGTTAACTTATACAACAACAACAACAATAGTTGAACTATAATAGTTTTAGTTTTAGTAAGAGTTTTACGGCACTTGCAACACAATAAGGTCATATAAGTGCCGAAGATTACAGGTGTTACAAGAGAGTAATAAACACAAAAGAAGGAGGGGAGATAAGGACGATAAATGTTCGATAGGAAAGAAGGAGCAAACCACACCAAAGCACCCGCCAACCACCCACTGATAATAGTTTCATTAATATAATAATGAAAACAACAGCAATAGTAAGAATAATCATCATCATCATCATAAAAATAAGTATAAGAAAAAGAACTTCTGGGATTTGGTGGGATTTGGTGGGATTGTGGGATTTGGTGGGGTTTGGTGGGATTGTGGGAATTGGTGGGGTTTGGTGGGATTGTGGGATTGTGGGATTGCGTGATTGTGGGATTGTGGGATTGCGGGATTGTGGGGTTGTGGGATTGTGGGGTTGTGGGATTGTGGGATTGTGGGGGAAATGACCTCACTTCCCGCCACCACTTCTCCAACACACACACACACACACACACACACACACACACACACACACACACACACAGTAGACACCAAAATTAATTAACAACAGCCAAAGAACAAAAAACACCAGCAACAACACGTACATAGGTGTCATGTCAGGGTGTCAGTGTCAAGGGTATGGTGGTATCTGGTTACTACTCTCTACTGTCTACCTTATATCCAGTTCACTCTGCCAACCGGATTCATTTAATTCAGACGGGGCCAGCCAGATTTTCGTTATTGGCGGTGCAAAAGGTACCATTTTACTACAATATGACCCATTCTTCTCACTACCTTTTAAAAACAAATGATTTGAAGGTCACGATCGAATTCTGTTGAATACGGTCGTATCGTGCCAAAACGGCTGGCTGGCCTCGACTCAAACCGACGAATCCGAATGCCAGTGTGCACTGCTGGGTATTCATCTGCCGTTGCACCAGCAATCTCAGTTATCTCACCGACAGTCACCATTCCCCTGTTTGCTTTGGTTGAAGTTTTTTTTTTAAATTGCTGGAGTTGGGGGGTGGGGGGTGTTTTGCTATGATTTTGATCGTTTCATATTGGGGCCCTACTTCTTTCTTCGTTGCAGTCGATTGTAATATTGATTTGATTTGGATTTAGATCTAGTCAAAGCTGTTGATATTCTGTTGATTATTTGAGTGTCGAAAGAGGATTGTTTGCACGTGATCTTGATCCTTTTTGGGGTGTGCGGCGACGATACTTTCCAGTATTTTATTTACCCCCGAACTCACAAGTTTTTTGTTTATCTGTTAATTATTAGTATTATTTTATATACACACTCACAACTTATAGATCTACATGATTCACATTTTTATTGTACATATTATATTGTTTGTTCTATTACAGCAGTCACAGAAAACGAGTGGCGTCGGTGGCCTAGTGGTTAGGCTACCGGATTCGTAATCGTGAGATCGCGAGTTCGGAGGTTCAAGCCTCAGCTCGGTCCGGCGCTGTGTCATTGGGAAAGGCATTTTACACGAATTTCCCACTTGGCTCGGTCCTTTCAGAGGTGGACGTTAAAGTCGGAGGTCCCGCCTCTTAAATAACCTAATAGTGTGGATAGGGGCGTTAAACCTATACCATATCACCATTTTTCACAGAAAACGATGTACAGAAAAGTGAAAAGGCATGAATAATGTCAAGAAGCTAGCCGAAGATAAGGCAAAATGTCGGAGGCCTATATCCTTATCCAGAGTGAGAAAGGGAAGGCAATGAAGATGATATGTTTGTATAATACATATTACATTGGACTTTAAAATCTTTTTTGTGGGTGGGGTTCTGTTATCAGAATACCCCCCCCCAAATAAGCTATACTCTGTTGGTGTCCTTGGCCACTGGAGATTTAAATTTACATTTTGCTACCCGGTCCTCGTGTTCGACATACAGGTACCCGCAGTTCATTAACCCTTTTGTGTACGGCTGGTTGGGGGGCGCCACTGGTAAGTCCTGCTTCTTAACTTTCTCTCTGTTGATTTTTCAGTCTGTCTGTCTGTCTGTCTGCCAACTTTTCCCCAGCACTAAATGACCGTTGTGTCGATGTGCTTCTCTTTACTCAAAGAAAAAAAGCCAAACCTCTTTGTATTCGATGTGTCAGTTTCGCTGGTGGACAAGCATAACATAAACTTACGATACTCAGGCAATTTAAAAAATAAATCTATAATCAAACCCTGTTTTGTGTTTGTATTGTGTAAGTAGATTAAACAAGAGTGCAGTTATAGCATAGTTTGTGGTACTGATAAATTGGTTGGTGTGGGTGTTTGGTGGGCGCTCTGGTGTGGTTTGCTCATTCTTCGCTATCAAACACCTCTCGTCCTTATCTCTCCTACATCTTTCATTTGATTGTTGCTGTCCTGCAACACCTCTAATCTCCGGAACTTGTATAACCTTATTGTGTTGCAAGTGCCCCCCCC